CTGCGCCCCAGACCCCTCCACCAAGTTCCCGGCCCACTACCTTGTCTTTTCTTTTACTGTTCTGTCCCTTTCTTTCTTGTCTTCTCTTTCCTTTTCTTTCATATCTCCCTCTCTCCCTCTCCTTTCTTTCGTTCTTTCCCTTCCTTTCTAATAATCAGAGCGAAGGGAGAGTCCGTCTGTCTTCAGAGCACACTGAGCCGCCCGATACCATCACCACATCTCTTGTGGGATCGAAGGAGTGAGAGTCCCTCAACACGCCCTTCTGCAAACAGGGCTGAAGACCAGCCTTAAGAGGAGGCTAACCAGGCGGCGGTCGCAGTATTCCTACGCCCAGCACCGAGCCCACCACAGAAATACACCCACTGCCTTCTCCCACTGATCTGTTGCTGCCTGTAGTTCCATACTTCTGGCTTGGTGTTTTGTCTTCTGTTGAAATGCATCTAAATACCCCAGATAGTGGTAACACTCTAAAGGTTAGCCACTGCCCTTGATTTGGATTTTTCAGATCCCTTCTGGAAAGAAGCGTTCGTGCTGTGGTAAGAAGTGGAAACAGCCTAAAAGATCTAACAGGGAGCTGGGAAGATGTCCACATAACATTTTCGTGAACACGTATGACGTGAAATGCTGCGGGATTGATTTGCAAATGCAAATCCAGTTACTCAATGGGGAAAGTCCACCAGCCTAGACTCCAGTAATCCTATAAAGTAGCTGCCTAGCAAAGGGATCTGGTCACATCTCCTTGGAGATAAGAGGAAAAATGGACTCATACTCAAAAAGTTCCCTTCTCCTTGGGTACCGCCAGAGTTAATCAATGAAAATGCTGGAGGCACACCTTCAAATGCCGGTGCTGTGTACACATCCAGAGCCAGAGCCGCCCAGCTTGAGCTGTGAGCATGCACACACATGCATCCATGCACAGGCCACACACGGAAGTGCCAAAAAATGTGTATAACATTGATTGGCAAGTGATAGAGAACTGTTGGGGTGGAAAGAAAAGAGGTAGAGCAAGACTTGAGCATAGATAGCTACAGGCACAAAGGAAGTTGGAACACTGCCACCAGATCCAGAGGCCTGAAAATCCAGGGTGTGTTCTTTATGTGACTTATCAGTATTTATTTTGATGAGTAAAGTGTGATTAATGGAGACATTGAATTGTAGCACTTACAGGAAACTAAAGTTCCAGTGGCCAGTCCTTTCATTTGACACATAGGGAAATGAGACCCAGAGATGTGAGATCTGCACAAACTAGCTAGAAGTGACCAGGGGCTAGGACCCAGGCCTACAGATTCAAGTGACCAGAGGCTTGGACCCAAGTCTTACAATTCAAATCTGTCTCTATTACATGAGACTGTCTCAAGGGAACTTAAGTTCTACTTACAAAATATCACTAAAGCAAAAGCAGTTATTATTTCATTGGTCTCAGGTTTGGGGATCTGAACATAGCTGATGAGTTACAAGACTGCACTGAAAGTGTTGGCTAAAGCTATGGTCTTATCTGAAAGCTTGACTGGGGAAGGATCTACTGCCAAACTCATACATGTAGTTGTTCCACTCATAGAATTGTAAAGCTCAGAGAAACCAGGAAACATAAGGGCAAAAAAATATAAATAACTGGATTTGTTGAGGTTCTCCAAAGAAATGGAAACAACAAGATGTGTATATGTATAGATAGAAATTTAAGAAATTGGCTTATATGACTCTAATGTGCAAGTCTAAAAGCTGCAGGGTAGGCCAGCAGGCTGGAGACTCAGAAAAGAGTTGCAGTCAAGTCCAAAGGCAATCTACTGGCAGAATTCTTTCTTGGAGGAGTTCTGTCTTTGTTTTATTAAGGACTTCAACTGTTTGGATGAGGCCCACCTACATTATGGAGAGTAATATGCTTTACTGAGAGTCCACTGATTTAAATTTTGTTTGTTTGTTTTGTTTGTTGTTGTTAGGTTTTAATGGAGGTACTGGGGATTGAACCCAGGATTACCACTAAGCTATACTCCCACCCCCCTAAATGTTGATCTCATCCCCAAAACACGTTTGCAGAGACATCTAGGATAAAGTTTGACCAAATATTTAAACACTTTGTCCCAGCCAAGTGGACACGTAAAATTAGCCATCACAGTAACAGAAACAAATATACATACATCTAAAAGATGGGAGTAGTGTACTTAATGTGCTATTATACGTTAATGTTCGTAAATTTAAGTACCAATATTTCTATACAATTACATGAATCATAGCTAAAGTATTTCAAGAGGCTACTAGTGTCTGTCATTGGTCACTACATTTGTAAAAATCTCTGTATTTTGTCCTTAAACTAAGAATTTGTTATTTTTCTTCAAAAGGGAAATATCTTGTATAGAGGTGAGTCCATGGTCTTCTAATGCAACAACCCGGGTTTAAAACTTTATCAGCACTATGAACTCTGGCAGTTTCCTATGTAAACTATATGAGCCTGATTTGTACTAATACTCACAATATTTAACTCATAAGGCCGTCAGGCAGACTCAGTGAGCTAATCGTACTGAGTACCCAGCATATTTCCTGGAACTTGGTAATATTGGTTGCCTCTGCCTGCCCCATATATCATCCAAAAATGGAAAACACCAGGCCACATTCCTCTGCATACAGGAATCCTTGACAGCATTCCAGACAAAACGAATATTGAACCATCTGCTTGAATCCTTAGCATTGATGAACACTCAGCTATGAGAAACTTCCTCTTTCTGTTGATTGAATCAAATAGTCATGCCATCAACTTCCATTCAGAACAAGGACGTGCTCTCTTCCACAAAAAGCCTTTCAAATATCTGAAGACAGCTATCATCTCTCTTCTCAGCCTTCCCTTATTCAGTTTGCACAGCCCTCGTTACTTTAACCATTCAGTGCCTGACCCATGTGAGTCACCCTTCTGTACTGACACATGAGTCACTATCAGTCATTATTACCCTCTTGGTGATATACTCCAAGTGGATTCCACAACCTCACCCTTGATAACAGTGGGATCCTTACCTTTCCTCAACTAGACATTAATCTTATGTAAATATAATTAATAGTGACCTTTTGAACAACCACATAAAATATTTATAGTATTTTAATAATTATAAATAAAATATTATTTGAGATAGGAGTAGCTTTTATTACATTGATCCACTACTATATGCCAAGGAGGGTATGAATTTTATCCTAACAAATCAAGTTATTCAAGATATCTTAATTTAAAAATAATTCAACCCAATTTCTGTTTTAACTTCACGTTTTGTCTTTTTTTCCTTAGCAATTGACTTTATTTATTTTTTTAATTGAAGTACAGTCAGTTGCAATGTGTCAATCTCTGGTGTACAGAACAATGTCCTAGTCATGCATATACATACATATATTCGTTTTCATGTTCTTTCTAATTCAACCTGATTCCTCCGCCTTCACCATGCTTGTTGCTTTCTTCAGCAGGGAGGGTAGGAGAAAAGTGGTCCTTAATTTATTTATCTGGGTCAGCAGGTTTTAAGCTGTCTGGTTATCAGTTCACACAGGTTGTCAATCTTGTCAGTGAGCTCTTCCAGGTTCATGGTTCTTTCTTGGCTCCCTGATGGGCTATCACTGTCCACCAGCCTAGTCCCTCCAGGGAGTCCTTCTCTCTCTCGGGCCTTGACTACTCTCTGGGTCTCTACTTGGGAGGCAGGGTGCAGGAAACCACTGAAATCCCTGCTCTCAGTGCCACCCCATTTCTCTTCCTCCCCTTCCAACCTGAGTGAGGGGGAGATAGCTCCTCTTTCTCTTCTGTCTTAGCATTTTATCTGTACCTCAGCAATCCTCAGTTCTCTTAGCGCTTAAGGTTATGAAAAACAAATGCCAATGCCCTGAATGCTTTCTGTTTTCTCCTCTGCCCCATCATTTCCAGAAGCTACAAGCATATGCCAGCTAGAAGTTTGACTAGGGTGCAGGAGAAGGGGAAATAAGTAGAGGGGAAAAAGGAAAACAAAAAGTTAATCTCAAAAAAACTATCATGCCTCCTCCATTCAGTTTTTTTCAAAAGAGTATTCCTATTTAAAGACAGGAAGTTGAAGTTCAAAATAGCTAGCCAACTTA